GTGTAATGTGTACTCAGTATTTCTGAGTACGCCAACTTGACATATTTAACAGCAGCACTAGAAGGCATCCTTCACAAGGATATGCATTTTTTTTCCTCCCTTGCTTAACAAACTGATAAAGACCAGAGCAGAAAGTACTCTAGCATTGATTTCAGTGGGATGGGGAGATGTCTATTGCACAGTGCTTGTTCCTGTATACTCCAGTCACTTCCCTTTCCATGAGAAGTTTGTCAAATAAGCAGATGAATTCATTTTATGTAGTGGAATGGCATGTCAATTCAGTTGGAACACAGACGTGACAACACTGTGTTGGTACATGCTGGAAAACGTTGCTTAGGACCCACTAAAATGGATTTGGGAAAGGAACTGAGTCCTATGGTCCAATCTTAGGTGACCTCTCAGACATGTTTTATTTCCATTTCCAGGATCATAATAGGATCAGGATCATACTTGGGAACAGAATGGTATCACAAATTAGAGACACAGAGCATCCTGGTGATACTCTCGTTCATATTAACAGTAGTGAAAGAATGAGGAAATGGATGTACTAATCCAGAGTCTAGAAATTTGTTTCAAAAATGAACTAGAAGGTAAGGAAAGGGGATAAGATTTACAATCTGTACTCTAAAGTGTTAGGAGCTGCAAGAAGATAGGCAGATAATGAAGGTATTTAACGCTTGTGGCCTTATCCTGAAGGCAGTAATGAAAATAATTTCTACCACTGAGATATCAATACCAGGCTCCATAGAGCTCCAAAGATATGTGCCTTCTGCTATCCAGTCTATATATGAGAAGAGGGCTAGATACAAAAGGATGAACATCATTCAAGTGTACAAACCTAGGAGAAGGCAGAGATAAATCCTGAATCCTGGTTAGAGGCCAAGTCATTTCTCAAGACTGGACAATGTTTAAACAAAACAAAAGAGGGTTCATATCAACTCTGATAGCTTTTTTTTTTCAGTGTCCACACACTGTTTACAAACATAATGGCTTATTATTACAGGCACTTTGCTGAAAAGCCTCTTGGAAAATGGCCATGAAGAAAGGAGAAAATAAGGTGAAAGGCACCAAGGGTTTCCAAGTAGAACACCACTTATGCATTTGGCCCGTCTTCACTTCCTTTTTTTCTAGTGGTTAGCAGAGACATTGTGTGCATGAGGAAATGCAGGAGGTTAACTGAAGAAGATAGTGCCTATGATTTACAATGATATACACTGGCTATCGAGAAAGAGGACACAGACAGGCCAGCTTAAAGACAAACGAAACTCAATTCTTAATATTTTGAAGGGTACATTGCAGAAATAAGACTTTCCAAGGATTCAGCCTAATGTTCAAAGACATTTGAAGGGAGATTTGATAATGCCACATAAAGATTTAAGAAAGCTTGATCATGATAGGCATGTCTTTGGAGTGGACTGGTCTCTCTCCTCTTTTAAGGTTGTGATGATTTCACATTAAAGGAGAGAAAAGATATGCTTGTCAGTCTTCATATACTTTGCACAAAGGAACAGTAAAGGTAAGATTAATTTGAAGCACAAAAGAGTACCCTATCTAGAGGAGGAAGAAAATGAACATAATACAATGCAACCTAAATTTAAACTTGCTTCTCTTCTTTCAGCAAGAGGAGCAATGGATTTTTCCTACTCTGTTAGATTGCCAACTAATCAGAAAAGCAATAATTTAATTTAACTATGTTGACTCTGATTTCAGTCACAACAGAGGTAGAAAACACAGGAATTAACTATATCAATTAGAAGAATATATCGTCTTTTAAAAAATGTTTTTTTTCAGTGTTTGTACCAAATATTTGCTATATTCTTGTATGCGATCCAAAATTTATAAAAAGACAGTTTAATTGCATCTACAAATGAGAAATCTTGATGGGGTAGAATGTTGACATTTGTTTAATTCAGCAGTTTTATCCACAAGCAGTACTCTCATCTGTACTTTAGAATTAAAAGACTCTGCGGGCCTTGTCTTTATCCAGAATAGATTTAAATATATATATGCAAGGACTGGTTTCAGCAACTCTGGATAGTTATTAAGTATCTAGGTCATCTGCAGTCTCAAACACTTGCACGTGTTAGGAGATGGCTGATATCTGATATAGAGATTAGATGGGGAAGTTTTTTTTTTCTATTTGAACTATGCAAAGCAGATCAAATATATCATTGCAGTTTTCACCAATGAAGAAATAAAAAGAAAAACAATGCTAACAGCTTCCAATACTCTAAGTTTGACCACAGAAGACAGGGAGTATAATTAGGAGGAGAGTGTAAGCCTCATAAACAGACTTTTTTTTCTATAAGAAAGCATTTAATTAGGGGTTTGCTTACAGTTTCAGAACATTAGTCCATGATTATCATAGTGGAGAGTGTGCCAGCCGGAAGACGTGGTGCTAGAGCAGTAGCTGAGAGTTTACACCCTGACCCACAGGCAGTGAGCATAAAGACAGACAGACACACACACAAGACAGAAAGACAGACAGACAAAGCCTGGGTCTGGCATGGGCTTTTGAAACATCGAAGCCAACTTCCTCCACAAGCCTTTACCTCTTTCAACAAGGTCAAACATCCTAATCCTTTCCAAACAATTCCACTAACTGGGGACAAAGCATTTAAACATATGAAGATATGGAGCAATTTCTATTCAAACTGCCACAAGCTTGCAGAGATCACATATAAATAAGAGTAATGATAATTTTTTTTTTCCTTCTGGGAGCATGTACAGCAATCTCCAGTTCCTTAAAAGCTAACCAGTAGGGATGAAGCTTCTAAGTCAATAACAACTTGATTTCTCCATGTTCTAAATAGCTCAGGGTGTGTTTAGCATATGATCTCACCTTAAAATTTTGGAGGTAAGTAAGAGCAATGGCACTAGACTGTAATGTTTGTGGGTCTATGGAACCTCACTGATAAACAACTCCCAAAGAGGTAACTCCCAGCACTGTGTTTTCCTTTGATATTAGTGTCTAAGAGGGACGATATCCCCTCATTATCCATTTTAACTCTTTATACACAGGCATGCATTTGAGGAAGCCTCCGCAGCAGTCCTTTGAAAGGTATCTAGTGCTAGTTATTCCTCCACATATTCTCTACTCCACTTTGCCTCCCATCTTCCATTCCACTTAATTCTTGATCTGTTATTCCTCATTCCCCCTATATGAAGATAAGTTACATTTATGCAATGGAACGTTAATTAGCTGTTAAGAAAAATGAAATTATGAAAATTTTAAGTAAATGGATGGACATGCAAGTACTCATTCTGCGTAAGGTAACTCAGACCAAGGAAAACAAACATTACACTTTCTCTCATATATAGATGCCAACGAATCTTAGATAAGTGTGTTTCAACTGGAACACTCATAGAGTCCAGGAAACTAGTAAGAGAAGATAGAGGGGTGGGGCTCTGAAGGGAAGGAAGATGGAATACAGGAGGTATAATGGAGATAATATTTTTTTTGAATTTTATTTTTTTCTTATCAGTTACATTTTATTAACTCTGTATCCCAGCCGTGTCCCGATCCCTCATTCCCTCCCAGTCCCTCCCTCCCTCCCTCATCTCCACCGTGCCCCTTGCCAAGTCCACTGATAGGGGGGACCTCCTCCCCATTCATCTGATCCTGTTTTATCAGGTATCTTCAGGACTGGCTGCAAAGCTCTCCTCTGTGGCCTAACAGGACTCCTCCTCCCTTGGGGGGTGGGGAGGCCAAAGAGCCAGTCATTGAGTTCCTGTTAGAAATAGTCCTTATTCCCCTCACTATGGGAAGCCAATTGGTTACTGAGCTACCACAGGCTACATCTGAGCAGAGGTTCTAGGTTACATTCATACATGGTCCTTGGTTGCATGTAAGTCTCAGAAAAGACCCTGTGCCCAGATATCTTTGGTCCTTGTGGAGTTCCTATCCTTTCCTCATCAGACTAACTCCCCTTCTTTCTTATGATTCCCTGTACTCTGCCAAAGGTTTGGTCATGAGTCTTTGCTTTGAAAACACTGCTAGTTAGAGTCTTTCAAATGTGCTCAGTAGACTCCTGTCATATGTTCAATGCGCATCCCATCGTAAACAGACTTTTCTAAACTGATTTTGTGTGTGTGTGTATGTGTGTGTGTGTGTGTGTGATCTGACCAATGTAAGCAAGTTGTATTCAGAATGTCTAAAAGAGGCTGTAATTTGTCACAATGCATTGGCTTTACCAATTCATCTCAGTTCTTCCAGCAAGATCTGGGAAACAGCTCTATGTGAGGGAATTTCATGTGGTCACCTCAACACGCTCTTTCAAACCTTGTTTCTTCTTACGTGACTTTGCACGCTGTTTGCACCTACACAGTTCCCCTTCATGTGAACTCTTGATACAATATGGAAAAATGTGTGAAATTTACCATATGTCATTTACTTCTACCACATGTGCTAATAGAGTCCAAGAAAGGACCATATGTTAGGTGAGGGATTGGGTTTTGGTCACATATATTTATTATTCTGATGGCAGTGTAGATACCGATATGTAGATATGTGGATACATGTGTATTTGGCTAATACTTAGGAGTACAGCCTGGGGCTTTCATAGTAAATGAATTAGAAAATAGGAAATGACTAGTTTAGGCCTGAAATTCTGCAGCATGAGTTCACAGACAGTGATGTCTCTTGATATTGCCTTCATGTATATTTGCTTATTAAATAGGAATAAAATAATTATTGAAAGCATCTCTTCCCCCTGTTTGCATATGTCCTGATAAACCTGTCCAACTTTCTACATCATTTGGCAGCAAAGTACACTAAAATATACTGTGAACTAAAAAGAGGGCAGGGCCAAATGGTTGTGATATTAATATTTCAGGAAGGAAATCTTCATAAATTAGGAGTAGAACAATTTAGTCCTTTTCATACCAGGATAAATTGAAAAATCAAAATTATCAACATGGATCAGATAACAGACAGTCATTACCCTGAAAACAATGTGAAAGGTGAAGTTACGGAGATGGAAAGAGACCAAACAAGTATGTGCAGAAATTAACTTTTTTATTATATATCATATAATGTAGTAGTAAAGTTTGTTTGAAGTGCATGAATAAAAAGTTAGTGAAATTACAGGAGGAACAATCTATATAGCAATAATTGGTGCATTCCCTGTGCATCTGAAAGAAACAAAAAGAGTTTTCACTCATATTTTGGCCTAAAACTTAGTTAGTGTTCAGGTTCCCAAGACTCTGACATCAGAACCCGGATAACGCTGATTAGAACCATAGGGGCTTTACAATAAAAGCTAAAATATTGACCATATGATGGCTAAAAGTCTTATTTTGTGGTTAACTTATTCTCTTCTAGCTACTCTCTGATGAAGTTGGTGGCGCTGTGGAGGAGGACCGCCGCCTCCTGGACGAGGACCGGGAACGCTCAGCATTGTAGGTGACATGCTTGTCATAGTTCTCCATCTGAGCCTCAATGAAGTCCCTCTGCTGCTGTCTGATGGTCTGGCTGATGAGCCCAGGGAGGGCATGAATGCTACCAATCAAAGTCTCTAACTTTGTTTCCAGGGTGACGATTCTTTTCTCAAAGTCTTCACTCCTTTCATTTAAGTCGGAAATCATGTCATACATGATATTCTGGGTCTGAAAAACAAGAGAAGACAGAAAGAGAGAAGTAAGAGGCTCAATTACTCTTGCCTCAGAAACAAAAGTGTCAACTCTTCAAGCTTCAGCATTGGCCTCTTGCAGATGACGGGTGTGTCTGGTAACTGAACAGTTTAGGTCGCCAAGCAAATTCTATATACTCTTAATGCTGAGATTTAAATGAATGATGACAGGCAATACTGGTTATGATTTAGAAAGTATGGTATAGTTATTGCTAGTGAAATGCCCAATGATTTTAGGTAGCATAAAGATAAATGAAAATATTTCAATTTAATATTTATGTGTGTTGATGATTCGTATCCAAGTTAGCATACCAAATTCATTTCTCAACATGTGACATTACAACACAAACAATTTTTATAATAACAGTAAGATTTAAGGAACAAAACAATAACATTCCGGTGATAGTGAGATGTAAAAACATGATGGAAGAGTAGGAATAAAGTTTAGAACCAACTGATTTGATCAGATAGCAGTAAGGTAAAGCAATCAATATACATCTTATGTTTCAAATCTCAGATCTCTTTTCATTGCCTCCACCAGAAAATTTCACAGGTAAAATGTGAAATAATATAAATCCTCAATAAGATTAATAGTAGTGGAGGAGACAAAGTTACTAGTCCATGGCTGGGGGTGGGGGTGAAACCCAGTGGTTAAGCACTTACCTAATGGGCACAAAGCTCTGGATGTGCCCTCTGTGTGCCACACAAGCAAAAATGTACAGGTCACCTTACTGGAATGGTTTACTCAGAGCTACATGGTCTGAAGCAGGACTGTGAAATGTTTTCATTTTACAGAAAACTGAAGTTATCTAGATCAAAGGGAGTCATGAGTCTAAGTCTCAGTTATAGTTCCTGATGTTGTTAAGAAAACTGGAGAAGGAATTCCAGGTCTGAGCAGCTTGGAGCTAGAGATGGAAAAAGGGGCCAAGAGGAAGGATAACATGCTACAATGAGTCTAGCACCACCTTTCCCAAACCCAAGACTCCTTGTCTTTCTTTCTCCTCCTACACCATTTCTTCCTGTCTCTCTCCCATCTTCACTGCTGCTTAAAGATGATAAACTGAGTGAGGAAGTCATTCAGAATATCAGCATTTTGTTTTGTTTGCACCATAAACACAGAGAGCACTAATTTCAGTTTAATTATATTCTTGGGAGAATTGAGCAACATCCATTCATCTGAAAGATACTGAACTCTTATGGCACGTCTCACCTTATGGCTACAGTAAGCATGGTACTATGTAAATAACTCGAATATATTTTACCTTGTAGATGTGTTTCATGTGTATGAACAGTAATAGATATGAAAAGTAATAGAGGGCAAGCACATGATCTCGTGCATGCTAGGTGAGGCATATTTCGATTTCCTACTGTGCTCTTAAAGACTGTTTCTTACCTTCATACAAAATTAAAAGGGTATATTTTATTTTTAGTATTCAATATTTTCCAACATTTAACCTAGGAGTGATGCAAAAGCCTTCCTCAAGCAAGAAGCGCATTAATGGAGGTTGTTTTGTTCTACAAGACAGTACACTGCCGAGCTTATGTGAATGACGCACGCTCCCCTGCGGTGAGTCATTGGATACTTACCTTGAATATGTTTATCTAGTATGTGTTACTGATACTGCATAAAATGAATATACTTTGGAAGTATTATTTGATGAGGCCAAGTGTCTAATTTTTTGGATTATACAGGAAGATTTGGCAAAGACATAAGATGATTTATCAAATATAAAACAGGATGTATATGTCTTAGTGTTGCCTTTGCCAAAGCAATTGGGCTAAAAGGCAGAACACATAGATACTTCTATTCTAGAGTCTCTGTTAGAACTAGCTGAACAGGATGTAATGTTTCCACAGTTGATAAATATTCATATTTCCAGAGTGGCTTTTACTTATGGAGGAACAATAATAATAAAAAAAAAACAAATGTTGTAGATGTGACAAAGAACTAGAAAACTATTAATGCACTTGTTAAAAAGAAGTATGAGTATTAAATAATGGGGAAAGCCATAAAAAGTGAGTATAATTTTTTGGGAGCACACATTTTATTTTAGGTTATAATTTCTGGGATTTTAAAATATTCAATTTATATAGTTTGGTAGTTTGGGGCTTGCTTAAAAATATAAACTATAAAAAGACTTATGAGTTGTACTTATCTGAGGCTCTCATCGTAACACTCACGATGTAGTTTCATCCTTTCAGGGATAAAGTATCATTTCATATTTCACTTAGAAGTCGTATAGTTTTTCCAGTGAAACCCCCCCCCCCCATAGACGCTTTTAGCACAGAATTGGATAATGTATATGGGGAAAGAGCTTATGAACTCAGCATAAGTTTTAGATTAAAAAAAATGCTTCTCAGTTAGATCATCACTCCAGTATGGCTTGATAGATTTGTTTATTAAATCTGCAGTGGCTTCTTCAGAAGTTCTGCTCATCACGGTGCAGTGGTTAATTTCAAGAGCTACAACCCTGAGTGCAGAGCCCCTCAGGATTACCTTTGCCAGATCCACTAGGGTGTTTGCTTGGTCATTCAGTTTCCTCTGCTCCATCTTCACACTTCGTAATCTAAAGGATAGAATCTTAAGTTAGAAAGGTCTCTTGTCTTCTTGGCTACGTCACTGCTTTCAAAAGGCATGCACAAGATCCACAAGAGCAAAAAACTGCATGGAGAATGCCTTGAGTACTTGGGGGTAAAGTCCACACTGGTTATGTATCTGGTACAATGAGAAGCATGCTTCCCCAACACCGCAAAAAGAAAGGAGAGCAAGAGATGAGATGTCCTCAGGACACTATGTACCAGGTAAGTTGAATTCAGTAAGACTCATAAGGATTTAACCATATGAGAAAAAGCCAAAACATTCCTTAAAGCCCCAGTATCATGACAAATAGACATAGGAAGAAATATGTAAAGCAACTGGAATTTCATCATGTTGGAGCAATGAACACCTTCCTATGCCTACGTGACTAGATACAGGTATTAACCCTGTGTAGTCTGAAATGAATTGGGTTAGGTATTTGAACCTGATGAAAACACAGTGATAAGTGAGATTCTTGTTAACAAAAACCACTTTTATTCAACCAGCAGCAAGATAACTCAAAATGTATAATTTTCTTACTCTATTTCTCTTGTTTTATCTAAACTGACAATAAATTTGAAGAAAGGCCAAACCATTTATTTGGGAGAATCTCTTTTAGCTTTTATTGTAGTTTTTTTTTTCTAATGACAAAATATCTGGTGGGTAGAATTTCTATTTTTAAGATTTCTTTTAGGTACTTTAAAATGTCATTGCATGTATTTGATTGCTGGTCACAAGGCCATGCTTTTAAAAAGCCATTTTTCTAAATGAAAACTCTTATTGTTCTTTCACTTATTTATTGTTGTACTTTAATAAATATTTACTACATGATTCTTATGTTCAAGAAATTAAGACTTTATAAGAGAAAGGTATATTACTGTTCTGGAAGCCAGCTATTCAAAGCCTGACTCAAAAAAATCTAAGATATTTTGTGACAAAGAGAAAAAGAAAATCCATTCTAAACTTACTTTGGTTTTGATAATGAATCATTTTCTAAATACGACTTTAATGAATGAAGAGAGCATTTTATGCTATTTAAATTGAAAAGCATAAAATTTAGTTTAAATAGTATATAACTACCTAAGAGAAATAAAAACTCACAGGGCAAGATTTTACTGCCAGGGAGATTTTCCCAATGTTTACTTAGTGACTTAAAGTCTTGTACCTAGGACAGCCAGCATGTAGCTGAATGCGCCACAGTGAAGACACAGCTTCTGCCAGCTAAGAGTCTAAATGTCATCCACCTATACTATAGCCTTAAACAATCTAAAATGGCTCAGATATCTCTGTTCTTGCTGTTTGTTCATTAGAAACTTGGAACCAACTTAACTGGGTCCTTTTGATGATATCAGAGAGAGAGAGAGAGAGAGAGAGAGAGAGAGAGAGAGAAAATTCTGATCTGAAAGAAATCTACAGACATGTATTTAAATTCAATATATTGTTGACAGAGTTTTCTCTAAGCAATGAGAAAGGTTAGAACTCTGAAATCCTACCCTTTAAAAATCAGCAAAAAATTGAGTTAAAAACATCCTGGATCAGTGAAGAGAAGTATGGTAGGGAAAGCTGCAATGTCCCTTAGGGACTCTGCTCACATTGACCCCAATCTGACTTTGTTTCTTTAAGTATGGAATGAAGTATTATATTAGTGCCATCCTTGAGTGCTGAAAGTATCATAATTGACTTTAAGTGATGCCCATATAAGAGCTCAACTCTAAAATATATGGAAAGACAGCTTTTCATTTTATCATGAACATCTGGATTATTGCAAGAAAAAGTGTAAGGCAGGTCCTATCCTGTCTCTAGCTCCTGACATCTGCTTAAAAGGTTTTTCATAGGGGAGGGGTAGACTCTTTGCTCAGAACTTTCTAGCCTATGGCTAGAATTCAATACCAGGATAAACTGCCAATTTGGTGCCAATTTACTTATTACTGTGAATGCTACCTTTTATGATAGTCACTTACATCAAGTTTTCTTTTAAAATTTAATAATGGCTAGCGTTTGCAGCTCCGGATCAGATGCCTTCAGCCATCTTTGAGCAAAGAGTCTTGAAAAATGGGAGGTTGAAAGTGATAGTTGTTTAGGTAAAGTGAGAACTTTTTCAAAAGCAGTGGAGCCCAGTGCCTGCTGGATTTGCAAGCTATGTCTGGCCATATAATTTTGCCCATGGTATTTGTTATTTATCTAGAAGGCTGACATTAGCTCTCAGGACTTCAATCATTTTGTCTTGCCCTGTGATCTGCCTGTAGTATGGGACTGCCTTCCTAGGCACCTGTGATGTATAAGAGCAGACAGACAGACCCTGCTCAAGCTGCAGCTGCCAGAATAAAAGATAACATGCACATGTGTAGAATACTTTTCTCCCACAAAAGATTAAGAAACGGATGTTGATTTCTTCCTTGTGAACTTCACTTATCACAGGAAAATATCATGAGTTTTGGATCACATTTCCATAGCAGCAATCAGACTACCAAAAGTCACAAATAAAGGATCTGCTGGGTGCATGCAGCCAGTAGAAAATTCTGCAAATGTTGAAAGGAACAGCTCACACAACTTACTTCCGAGCTCTATTTTCATTTTGTTGAAATAAAAAGACAAAACAAAAGAAAAGAAACTGTAAAGTATTCCAGAACACAAAATAACATAATGCGGTGTTCAGTTGTGCACTGGGGGCTCGATTCATCAGCTGGGAGACCCTGTGGGACCTTGACATTGATTGGCACTATTCAATTCATTAACATCCTCTGTTGTCACTATTTTCTGCCTACCTGAAAGCACTTGGCTTCCTCCTAAAGCAGAGGAAGAAATCTGTAAAGTCATGTTGGCCTCTTCATACTTGGTGTTCAACAGAATAATAGGAATCACTGGCTTTAGAGTGATATGTATAATGATTCTTTGCAAGGGGGAGCATATTTTTCCATATCAGGGCTATTTGAAATCCCCTCTAATATAAATTATGCACATTAGCTTTCTTGGCTCTAGACAAATTCATGTTGATTGATGGATCCATGGTTGAGACAAAAGAATGAAAATGTTAAAGCTGCTATCAGAAAAAGTATTGAAAGTTAGAGAGAGAACACTTCATGGCATTGAGTGACAATTCAAAAAAGACAAACACATTCCTGAGAGGAGGGCATTGGCCTAGAGAGTTTAGCATCATCAGAAGCTAGAGAGGTCACATGTTTGGAAAGAGGCCATAAAGTATGGAAAAGAAAGAGCTGAGCTACCGGGGATTGGCAGAAGAGGAAAGAGCTGTGAAAATTGCTCTCATGGAGAATCAGGAGAGCAAAAGCCAGGCAAGCTCCAGCGAAAATGACTTGTAAGTTTCTGTTCAGCTGGAAGGTCTCCTTCATGAAGTGCTGGCAGACGATGCTAAGAATACCCCAGAATCTGAACAGTGGGCAGGGAAGCCCTGACCCTGAGGAATCGAGCCCTGTGTGCTGTATTTAATGACGTCATTCTACAACTTCCAATATGAAATTAACATGACAAGTGATTATGCACCAGTAGAACCCATCTAGCCAAACCCAGCCCATAAGATCAAACTTACTGCACTGTAATTGTTCATAAACCTTAAGTATACCCAGCAGCAAAGGAAACCCAGTAATCCCCAAACTAACATAAAACAATTCTGAACACAAATGAATTGCATCAAATTCATCTGCTTTGGATGTACACACTGGATTTTTAAAATGGAAAGAAAAAGGATGAGAATGGGAAATGTTTCATGAAATCAGAAGAATAACAAGGGGTGGCTTCTGCCACACTATCCAAAGAAGCCAGCTGAAGGACTCCATATAAGCTCCGCCTACGTGCTCTTCTGATCAGGCTGACATAAGAAAGAGGTGCCAGTTCCTTTGGGGCAGTTCATAAGATCAGCTTCCATCTATAGAGAATTTTTTTCACAATATTTCGTTAAGAAAGAGAAAGTTACAGCAAAAGTAAGGATTTTTCAGTGAACAAATACTTGCATATTACTGTGTGGATGTACTTATAACTCAAAGCACATGACAAAATAAAAATAGCCACCATATCCCCATCCTTAGAGGACTGTGTTACAAACTCTGTCGGCACTTGCTCTGGACTTTTTAGTTGAAAATTTATTAAAAGAGCAAATCAAATGTTACCGTAAATTAAGAAGCATGGTCAGGACAGATGGACATGCTCACTCCTACTTTATCTCATGCCCTTCATCTTTGGCTATGTCTTCTCATCCTGAGGAAGGGAAGTTTTTTTTTTTTTTTTTAAATCATACTCAAACAACATAGACTACTAGGATTTGCTGTGACTGCTTTAGTGATGTTGTGTTAGTATGTCAAATGGCTTTAGAGGATACACTTTCTCTAATGAGCTCTTTCCAAGTGATTATTTCCAAGTAGTTATCTAGATGGCCCTGGGGAACACAGAGGAAGAATATGTCTATCTCTTGGGGCTGCATTCTCTTGTGCAGAGAATCAAGGGAATGCCACTGTCTGGGCTGGTGCTCCTGGGTTGGCTCTGGGTCAGAAAAGCAACTAAGCTCCAAGGAGCAAGCCCCAGCTTTGTGAGCCAGCTCTAAGATAATTCTCCTCTTTGTGCTTCCCCCTGACTTTAAAAAATAATGATTTTAAATTCCTAGTCTTTTCATTTCCTTTCAAAGCAGGGAGAAAAACAGTTGAAGTTGAGTGCCTTGTGAAGTCACAGAAGAGAAATACCATCCCCTTCTTAGGAAAGTGCGTTGGTGGCAATAAGGAGCACGAGTGAGTGGCTGCGAGCCGTAATGATAAACTATTCTGCCATATGTGCAGAGCTTTCTCTATTTTAATCCCGGAGTTCCTTGGGTTTTATTGACTAACGGAGGCTTCAGCTCCCATAGAAGTATGCCTATGAGCATCACTGTAGGAACATTATAGACTTTCCTAGGGTATATTAATATCTTAATTAAGCAGGGCAGAGGCTGGACCAGTGAAAGCTTAGAAGTGAAAAGTCTATGGAGTCCTCATAGAAAGTTAGTGGTGGTACCATGCTCCCTATGGATTCATTAAATATGCATACATAAAAATCCTTCTGCAGAAATAATACATGTACACCTGTTGTAATCCAAGAGTAATGTAAATAAATTAATTATTGTATATTAAATTTTTGTGAATAAAGTTTATATAATTACTAAAATCTGAAAAAAAAATCCCAGACTCATAGCTTTCTTGTCTGTTGTACTGTCTGAGCCTGAGAAGGCCAATCCCATGGTACAGGGAAAGCCCTAATACTTACCCACCTTCCCATTATTACCCTGGTATGTTTCACAAAGAAACCCACTATCTTGAGCCACAAATATGACCATGAAGAAAGGGCATCAAAAAGCCTGTCTCTCTGGTATCACAGTTGATACCCACACGAGTAACACTTACAGTGAAGACGATGTTAGCCTGGAGAGAAAGGTCTGTTTCCCAGTAATCACTGAGTTTTATGAGTATAGACTGTTATCTTAAAAGACTCTAGTAATTACATAACAAAGACATGCATGAAGGGCCTATGTCAACTGAATAAAAGTAACTTAATAAGAGAATATTGAACAATACCAACTCTAAGCTCTATAGTGAACATACAGCATACAGATAACTCCCAACTTTCTGATTAAGAAGTCATTGAATATTACAGAGTTATGACAATTCAATGTAATATGTCATATAAAGATGTTTGCTGGCATGCAAAAATCCAGATGGATCATATACTGTTTTGTTTGTTTTTTTTTTTTTTTCCACCAAGATTCTTCAGTGACTATAAGCTGAACACTTCAGGGCAAACTATATAAACAAATACACTAATTAAATACAATTCTAACAGAAATTATGCCTTTGAAGAGAAAGATATTTTGATTAATACACACAATTTTCAGTCATAAATAGAACTAAACTTTTGTCTGGAGTTCAGTGTTAGAGTCTCAAATGTCTCCTGGAAGCAAACACGACAGTGTCCTTTTCCTTTTTCCTCCCTCACAAAGGAAGGGCCAGCAAGCAAAAGAAGAAAGAACAAGATGGAAAAGAAAACAGGTACTTACTGATGAATAGCTTGCAAGAATTTCCTTTGATGCTTCCTTACTTTTGCGTGGTCGATCTTTTTCACTAACTTTGTGTTTTTGTAGATTAACCACGTTTCCCTGAGTACATTGGCAGCTGCGTTTTTCACCTGTTTAGAAAAACACAAGAAAAGCAGTGGCGACATCCTCAAGAAGATTCCCTGTATTCATTCAAGGCTGTGTTTCTCATCCTGAGAATCACAGAAAACAGGAGCTCTAAAATCGCTACTCAAGACTGTTTTTTCTTCTGGCATATCTCCCTTTATACAAGTATTTATGCCTGTCTGGGAACCCTTGAGTGAAATATTGGGGATATACTACTGACATCTTCTGTGCTGCATGCTGTGCTTTGAAAAGAAAGGAAGTTTTTATTCCACACATTGTTTAAAGAGAACTCAGAGATGCTGATTTTTCTTCTTTCCACCACAATGCTTCTCTCCATACTCTCTTATTTTCCCAGAGAAGGGCAAAATGGCAAAGGTTAAGCTTGCCTTTGCAAGCCCACTGAGTATCTCTCTGGCTGTGCAGCTCAACTAAGGCATGTTTCCATGGCTGAGTGTGTGGGTTCACCCCATGCAGGTAAACTCACAGAGCAACAGTGATTTATTTGCTTCATTGCATACTTTCACTTAGAGGGTTGTTATTATGGCTTCATGGGAAAATTAAATATGTTGCTTTTCAAACAGATGACAGATGTGAAAATTGCAGTAGCCTCATGAAAGCTGGGTATCTTATCCAACCATTTTCTTGATTGAAATCCCCAAAGGCACTGGGAAGTGTGAGAGGCCTAGGCAGGGTAGATCTTTTCTCCTTGCCTCTGCCACAGGACTTGGAAAGCTAGAGCTTCTTCAGCTAATTGGCTAGTTACTTATTCAAAGAAGTTTTTCCATTGAGTTTTTCTAGAGTGAAGAAAGCCCTGGGCTCAGTGGTGAGTGGAGAAAGACAACTCAGCATAGGTAGTGCCAGAGGGATCAGTAGAATGTAAGCTAACAACAGGCACTGAGAAATGGGTCTTGAGTCCTTGAGTCAACAATAACCAAGTCAGGTCCAATGCCTGGTAAGGTTGCTGGAATTTAATGTTCTCCAACATGAGAGTGTTACAGATGACAATTACTAAAACCCTGTTATTTCTGGTGTTTTCAATAAGAAGCTGCCATAGAGTTACATATAACTATGATCTAATTTTACAGGTATAACTATCTGCTTTTGCAAAAAAAAAAAAAAAGTCACATTTCAGGATTAGTGGTATGAAACCCTTTCTTCTTGAGTAAAATTGCATTGCCCAAATCCATTTTAAGAAAATACTGGTTTCTCGGAAGTGCACTCTTTCCTCAAACTAAAAGGAAAAGAGCAGGAAGAGCTATGGAGTATGGCAGGGAGTCAATGTCACACCAGTACCTCACCTCTTTCCAGGGAAGGTAGGAAGACTGGAAGCCACATCCTGGGTCTTTTCAAAGGTAAAGAAATCAGTGCAGGTAAGAGGTGGAGGTGTAAACTCCCTGCTTTCTTAGAGCATGGTGTGGGAAGAGATTGGCTAGAAGTCCTCTAGCTGTCTCCACTAAGGATGGTTCCTATCAGAACAGGAGCTACCAACTCTACAAGTGGCTGTCGGAAGCTGGACAGTCAATGAGCAGCCTGGTATATGATCTTCCTGGCTTTCCTATACACGTGAAAATGGAGGGACTCATTTCCAGACCAGTTATGAAGGTTCAATGCTGGGACACGGTCCCAGCTAGGACATGACCCTAGCATTAAACATAGCAACTGATTTTATGTAGATTCCCACCTACAAAGTGAAAACTCCAAATTACTTTAAAATCTTACAAACTTTTGAAAAGGGTGGCTTCCTGTTTCTTGGCTGCATTTTAAGTGACTCTTTCCTGTTGGGATTGTAGGGGAGCAGGGAATCTCAGTGCAGGGTAGAGTGGGTGGGCGATGCCCTAAGAGCCTTATGCTCAGGATCTGTGTTCCCTAAGCAGTCGTTGTAGCTAACAGGCTTAAAGGCAATGAAACCTAGGCATTTCCTTTAAAAAAAATCTGAAACATGTGAATTGATTTTTAAAATACATTCTCTTACTTCCCTAATGAAGTATTTAAAACACATTACTGCTTTAACTGTTACTTTCCAACATGAAAGCTCTGGAACAATATGTGCCAGAATTACACAACAAAACAAAATTCCAAATTCTGCCTATGACTGAGGTTTTTCCAATCATGGGTCTTCTTGTCCTGAGAAGTGGACAAGAGGCAGACTGGTTTAAAAGCACCTGGGAGAATGGACAAAACAGCTGCTCAAATTTCCAAGGACTCAGAGAACAGCAAGTATCCATATTCCTTGTCATTGAGGTAACTGGGAAATTGATTTGAAGGGACCTCTTCCTCAGGAAAGACCTGTACTACATCGTCTAATTATTTCGCCTTTGGCCCCCTCTCTCTCTGAGTATAAAAACTCTCCCTGAGTTTTTATAAAGCTTTAAAGGCAGCATCAAAGGCCATGTCACTAACCACTGTCCCTTTCTAGTTAAGTGCTTTGGGCATAGCTGGTGTTAAACATGGCTGTGGTGTTAAGTGGGCACCAATGGATACATAATTTATACATAGAAATTTCTAATCATGAACTAATAATATATAAAATTTTAGATCATATATTGTCATACAGATTTCACATACACACATACACACATTCAAATCCCAAAGGATCCTTGCGATTTAAAAGAGTACTGAGTACTACAGAACAAATTTCAGCTGTAAGTACATTGATGATTCAACTAACACACTTGATATCTGTTGGCTGTGATATGTGATATACTATGATGATGGTTATGAAAGATTCTCAAATGCATGAAAAATTGCAATTCAGTCAACGTGCTTAACCAAGCTCTATGTTTGCCATGAGGAAATTCAGCAGTTCTAGAGTCAATCAGGAGGGCTGGGGACATAGTTGGGCGGATGTGTGTTTGCCTAGCATATAGCAGGCTCCATGATAGATTCCCAGGACAGAAAAAAAATAGAAAATAGCAAAATGTGAAGAGAGAGGTTAAAGAGCTCTAGGGCAATTGCTTCATCCCTACTGACTGCCTATATCTCCTCTCATCAAATGCCAAACTAAAGGAAAGTAGAAATGTTTTCTCTGTCTTCCTAAGGTTCAAGTTGAATTGAAACCCTACATTGGAAAAAAAATTGAAAGGCATGTTAATAAACAGGTCTTTGGTAATTGTACAAACAAAGGCCGTAAGCAAAATGGTAACAGTGGCAATAAGAGCTGTCCAGATACCTTTCTATGACTCCCCAGGGTATAAAGGCTACCCATAATCTCATTGCTGCTTCACGGATAATTAAAAAATAAAACCACAAATAATAAGATAAAATGTAAGCATGGCACTGATTTATTTTTTTCCTGCAATAGTGGGCATCAGAACCAGCTTATGAGAGTGCTTTGAGAACCAGCAAAACACAGCAAATGAATTGTTAAATGAATGTTGTATAAACCTGTAAGTTATGAAGAAACTTTTCAACAGTCATTACTAACAATCCGTCATCACTTATATTTTCCCTTGATTTTTAAAAACTTGTGTCTTCATTTTCAACTTTGATTTTATTTTTCTTCTCTCCTTGGAAGCCTATGTATGTATGTATGTATGTATGTATGTACGTACGTATGTATGCATGTGCATGTAACTATGGAAGACATCTGTCATTATTGGGTGTCCTTCTCAATCTCTTATCCATCTTGTGTTTTGAGATAAAGTCTCTCACTGAACCTGGACCTTGTTAATTTGGGTAGGCTGGCAGACTGGGGTGGCTATCCTGTAAGCTCCAATGTTCCTCCTGCCTTTGCATTCTCAGCCCTGAAATCACAGGAGCAAAACGCATGCTCATAGTTTTGCAAAGGTCCTGGGGAAAGAAACCCAGGTCCTCATGCTTGAATAATGAGCACTTTACTAACTGAGGAGTCTCCCTAGAAACTTTTTTTAAAAAAGGATAATAAACAAAGTAATGGGTTTCACCATATCATCCTCATCCATACATTATGGCACTTTGCTTTAATTTATTCCTGTCTTCAAGGAAGAACAAGTGTAACACGACCAGTGTATCTTCTGCTGAGGGGAGAGCGGGCTGCTTGGCTCCAGCCCCCATCCCAGTTTTCAGAGGGAGAGTATCTGAGATCTATTGTAATGACATGATCCCTTTCGTGTTCTAATCAATCCAATGAGCTGGGTAGCCACTGTACAAGCTGTGTGTAGTAAATCATTTGGCGACTTGTTAACAGAGATGCAGAAGACAAAGTGATACAACTGTGTGACTGTGTCATGATAGATCTTACTGATGTTTAGAAATATCATCAGTGTCTATTAACATGTATTATTATTTTCCATAGTACATTTATATAGTATGTGTCAAGAATTAAAAATTCTGGTAGAGTTCTCATAATTGCTTGTTTTACAAGTTTTTTTGCAACACAAAGGTAATGTGGGGATCAAAATCTTAAGATTTGATCTTTGTTTAGTTCTGTATTAGTAGTAATAGTATTCCCCAAAGATGCAGCATGCAAACAGTTGGGCCCAATAAGATGACAGACTATTTATTAAATAGCTGGTCCTGATCCTGTCTTTTATATGGTACATGCATGTGAGAATGCACATGTGGAGGCCAGAGCAGGCATTTGGGATCTTGCATCTGTCTTCCTCTCTCCAGGTGAGACCCTATTGGAGGCTCGCATTTTTGGCTGGTATGGCTGGCCAGTATGCTCACTCTAGGGATCTACTTGTATCTTCCACTGATGCTGGGGTTTCAGGCACTCACAGTCAAACTTGGCTTTTTATTTGGTCTCTGGGTGTCCTTCATATTTGCACAGCAAGGACTCTTAGCCACTGAGCCATCAACCTAGTCTCCATTCCTTTCTTTAGAAGCTAGGTAACATCTTTAATCTGGGTACATGTTCTTCTGGGCTAAGTTTTAATTTTAAAGGGTCAAATTTTCCAAGAATGAACTCTCTAAATGCTTTCTGAATGAATAGTGTATTTTCTTTTCCTAATGTAGTCATATAGAAAAGTGATTTTTATATAAATTCATTCTCCTGAAAATTTGTACATGGTGAATAATTTTTTAACAATATTGTTTGCCTCAATAAGACACATACTAGGATGCTTCAAAGTCTACTTGTATTCCTGGGATAATATTCTTTCAATACTCAAGATGCTCTTTCTTTAGAGTTATTTTCAGATTTCAGAATATTTATGACCATATTCCCTGATAACCAATGGAAAAAAATTTTTCCTATGGAGTGTGTGAAGGGATACTTGTATTTTAACAATATATAGTGCTCTTGAGTTTTTACTTTAGTATTCATCTTAGTAAATATATATTAGTAATAATATATTAACTGATATATTAATATATATATAATATATTAACTGATATATTACTGGTGTATGTATACTTATTAACTAGAGAGATTAACTATATATTAGAATATATAAGTTATATATTCTAATGCATATATGTTACTCTGTACTCACTCTTTGTTTCCTCCAGAAATCATTGAAGGTTTTGAAATTATTACTTAAAAAAGTAAAAATTTTGCAGGGATTCCACTTAGAAAGTCTATAAACAACCAACTGAGGCATGCTCTAAGTAACTGATAGTCATTGAGTTGATGCCTTTGCATAAAATCTTGAGTAGATGAATATCAGAGAACTATGATGTGCCAAGTACCAGAATGAGGAAAGTGTCATAAACTATACATTTATACCTTATTCTATTGACATTTTGACATGCATGCCTTTTACATAACAACATTCTGACTATGAAAACTTAATTGGTCAGTAAGCTGGCTTTGAGTGACTCACAAAAATATTGCAAAGTAGTTCCGCTTTTAAATAGCAGTAAGATAGCATTATTAAAGCAAATGAGTATCGTGTTGAATGTGGGTATTGGAATCTGAACATCCTTTTAGTGAAGATGCATCTGGCAGGCACTATGACTCCCTCAGCAACCTCACCTCCACTGTAGTGCTAATTTCGTTCCTGAGAAAAATATAATGCTTATAATAAAATAGCATGGGTTGCAAAAGACCTTACAGAAATACCCCTTTGATAAGGTAGAACTTGTGACTCTTGACACCAGCTCTGCTAAGACAGAACCTTCCTGGATTGCGTATAAACTAATACAAACACAGAAATGTATTTTCATTTCATTTCATTTTCAGTTCTGAAAAGAAAAATAATCCTGAGCACTCATCTAGGCCTTCGTTTACCTCTTTTCTCTAAACTTCACATTAGAAATGTTCATGAGTTTTGAGGATGGAAATGAGAGTTGAAAACAAAACAGGAGGAACCTGGAAAGAAATAAAGAGCATTTGGGACACAGGGGGAGGAAGATGGCTCAGTGCATAAAGGTGCTTGCTGTGTAAGTCTTGCAAACTGAGCTCCAACTCAGGAGCCTATATAAAGTTGAAAGATGAGAACTCCACAATGTTGTTCTCTGACCTCCACATACACACCATGGCACATGTAGTGTTCTCCACAATAATACATAAAAATTGTAATTAAAAAATGTTTGGAAGAGGCAAAGTCAGGCTAAAAATAATGTTTGCAATTGGGGAGGGGCTTTGATCCCCTATTAGACTCCTGCAATACTATTAGCTCTAGGGTATGAAACTACTGAAATTCATGTTCCCTTTTTATAAAAAAATAAAAACTATAATAACATGACTTTGTAATAAAATAAATGCTGTACTAGAACTACTTATCAAGGCTGCCTATTTGTGTTTTGAAACACAGTCCTACTATGCTGGCCAGGCTGGCCCCATTGATCTTCTTTTCCCTTTGGGACAATATGGGACTGCAAGTATGCTTAGTTAAAAAGATCACTTTTGTACTTAGAAGTTAAATTAGGAATAAGGAAAATACTGAAAGTTGGAACTTTATCTGAAAATTCTATCGATTCTTTGTGGGCAGAGTCACTGAATGACAATGCATTTAATTATCTCAATGACAGCCTGATGGAATTCTACTTTGGGAAGCGAAGACTGCTACAAGATGTTACAAGATAATTTTTAGGTATTTTTGACTTTGGTATTTTGATGTTTCAAGTAACTATCCCAAAAGCTAAAAGTATACTCTAATAAAAATAATTTTCTTCTTTTCCAGCTTTCCACCTTGATGTCAGGACTGTGAGCAGGTTGTCTAAGTTCTGAGTGTCATGCTTTCCTTGTTATGGAACTGCCATAACAAGGCTTTCTGAAGAGGAAGTACGTTCACACATGGGTCACACCTGGATGTGGCCAAGGTAGGTATTCTATTGACACTGATTATTGCTTTGTTTACTTCTAATAACTGGAAGGTGATCTTCCACCTGGATGCTATGACATTTTTGATATATCTTTGATGACCTCTAAGCCATAGGAAGCACATTTTATGTTTGTAACCCCTGTGTTTAGAATGCAGACATTTTCAAAGAAGCTCAGCACAACTTCTTTGAAATCACCTTACCATAAAATTCCTATTTTCAACAGTGTATTCTTTAGGTTCTACCCCATCTAATATCGGTTACTGTGCTGAAATGTTGAGTATACCTACTGTCTTGATTTATAAGATCTACTTTTATGTAAATACCAGGGTTCTGTAATTATTCTCAATTGATCTGAGGGTAGCACATTGACAAAATGTGCGAGATGGAACCAATTCCAAGGATGCCTCTGTCTTTGACCTATGGCATCTCTGCTTCAGATGTCTTAGTGAAAAACCCTTTTTTCTGACATGGGTATAAGACAGTGAGTGACATCCTCTTATGGGATGTTGTGGGATCTACTTACTCTTTTGGTCAGCTGAGTATCCATCATGAAATTGTGCACATGCTTTTCTGCTTTGGTAAGTTCTAGCTTTCTTGCCACTACGGCTACCACCAGGGCCGTGCAGCCTGCACCCTAAAAGCAAGGAAAAATGAAAACTCCAAGAATTAATTAATACTTTTGATCACAGTTATATTAGAGGTTGTTTTGTCTCAAATGCATTAATTTTCTCAAGCAAAAAGTGATACTTTTTGCTGTCTTCCATAAGTATCACAGAAAAATATATCGTTAACAATTGTAAGCAATGTTTCTTTAAGGTATAAAAATCCTAGTTTACCTATTTTTAAAACTAAAGCATAATAATGAATAAAACAAGATTTCACCACAAGGAATAAATAGCTAAAAACCAACTTCCTGAATTTTCAGACATATTTTTTTTTAAAAACAGGAAATCTGTTATACACCTATAATTATATAAGCATATTAAACAAATTAACATAAGTACATGGACTAGAAATAAAGATTTAAAAAAAATAACAGTTCAAAATCTTCTCTTGAGGCAAGACCAGCAAGCTTTCAGACAAGTGCGGGGCTACAGAATGGGAAGTAGATGTTCGTGTATGCAGGCTCTGATGCGACTGTGACATGGCCTTGGACGGATATAGTGATGGGAGCCTGGAAAAAACAGAATATGATGTGCAGAAAGCCAGGAGATGCCCTCATTCAGAGAAGCAATGATATTGCCTTTCAAACCATTTAGCTTAACCAGATGATGGAGTGTGGGAGACACTGTGTGGCACCCCAAGAATTTAGGCCTGTGTTTCTATAGTTAAGGTTTACTGAAACTGATTTGGGAAGTGGGGTTGTCATCATGGAGACAGATCAGGACAGTATGCAAGGTTCCTACTGGTAGGAAGGGAGACCATAAATCCTAAGAGAATCTCAATCTTGAAAGGCAACCGAGCAATAAAACGGTTAAGCCAAAGTCAATGCACAAGCAACAGAGGAGAAAAGGGCTGGATATTAAGGAATCCATTGCAAGAGGTGCATACACAGGAGGATAATACAAGACTGGTGGGGCTCTTTCTGTACTGTTAAATCTACTAGTTTCGAGTATAATTCCATGTCACTGAAGAGAAGAGTGCTGCTAGGATAAAGACAGAGGAAGACAGTCTCAAATTTTCACAAGGTGATATGATTCTGCTGATTACCAACAGGTCTTAAAAATCCCATGTTAAAATGACAAGCAGGTGTCTTCAAAATGTACTAGTTATTATCTTAAGTAGGTAATAGTGAGGAATAAATGCTTTGTGATTTACTGCCCCACCCATCTGTCTCCTATGACGTTCACTCTTGAGAGCCATTGATTGAATAAATATACACACCCCACATAGCGTTTTAGGAAAGCCTACAATTTTATGTTGGGCCACATTCATAGCTACATTCACAGCTGTCTTTGGACATGGGGAGTGCTGGGCCACGGGTTTGTTAAAACTTATTTGAAAAAAATGTTTGAAGATATAACACAATATTTAAAAGGTAAGTTACATAATGGTCTCACTTTTATTTTTAAATGGACCACACTGGGAAAGAAAATATCTAAAAAAGGTGGGGGAGTGAAGTCCATTTGTTAGAAGAGGTTATCTCCGAGTATTTAAAGTTTTAATGACTTATTTTGTTCCTTGCATTTTTTAGAATCACCAGTTGGTGCTGGGTCCAAACTTTCTATGCAGATAGACTCCCCAGGTTCTTCTCTAGCCTAGATTTCCATACTTGCCACAATACACAGGTTCCATCTATGCAGCATCCCAAAACTCTCCATCAAATCAGATCTCTGACGTGGTCCTCCAGGAGTCTCTCTGGAGACTCTCTGGAGTCTCATGGCCCTGTGAGTCTCCCTAACCCTCCCCATCCATGCATTCTCCCCAGGCTACCAGATCAAGCCATGGTGCCACATCCAGTGTCCTGGCCTACTCTGGTTTCCCCTGCCTGCACCACAAGCATTTTCCAGACTTCTGCCAGGACTATCTCTCCCTATATCCCAACCCACAGTCCCCTCCTATGCAACATCCAACCTTTCCGTCTATCCAGATCCGTCTCTATACCCACAGTCTAAGCTTGGATGAGGCCGCACATGTACATTAACCCAGTCTCTTCTATCTACCTATCTTGGTTCAACACTAGGCATTTCCAGCCTCTAGGCCAAGCCCATCCACACATCTTCTCTTCTAACCCAACTAATGTCCGTATCAGCCTTAAAACTAAAAACATAACTCCACATTCCCAGATCCCTTTACAAAAGTACAAACAATATGAAAAATCAACTTCTCTCCCAAACTTACCAGTCCTACAGAAATATTTGCCCTGAAAATCACCTAAATAAATCCAAGGACACAGAATTAAAAGAAAATCATAACTTTATAGAAGAATCCAAGAAGTTTAAGGATGTTACAAAAAAACAAATCAAAAAAATTAAGAAAGGTAAGGAGAATAAACTTGGTGCCTGGCAAATGCCCAAGAAAATAAAAATATCAGGGTAATGGAAATGATGAAGACAATCCAAGACTTGTGAATAGAATTCAATAAGGAGATCAAAACATTGAAGGGGACCCAACATGAAATGATGATGGAATTGAAAACCCAATAACCCAACTAGAAGACTCAAAGGAAAAACTTTACAATTACAATGAACATAGCTAAAGATAGAGTATCAGGACTAATATCCTGGATTAACAGTAGAAACAGGGAAGTAAAATGAGACTGTGCTGGTCAGTTTTACATGAACTTGACACAAGCTAAATTTACCTGAAAGGTGGTACCCTCAAGAAAATGCTTCCATAAAGATCGGGTTGTAGTCAAGCCTATAAGGCATTTTCTCAATTAGTGATTGATGGAGGAGGGTCCATCCCACTGTGGGTGGTGCCACCCCTGGGCTGCTGTTCCTGGATTCTATAACAAAGCAGTCTGAGTAAGCCATGGGGAGCAAGCCAGTAAGCAGCACTCATCCACGGCTTCTGCATCAACTCTTACCTCCAGGTTCCTGCCCTGACTTCCTTCAGTGATGAACTGTGATATGGAAGTATAAGCCTAATAAACCCCCTTTCTTCCCAGATTGTTTTGGTCATGGTGTTTCTTCACAGCAACAAAAATCTTAACTAAGATGGGCCACTGCTTTGATAGGTGGGTGGAGGATCAATAGAAAGGGGAATAAAAAGGGTGTAAGTGATCTCATTGGGAAACTGGAAAACAGTAGGAGGTCCTAAGAGGCAGTTAAATTAGGGAGGGAGGATGAAGGAGGGCAAAACAACACTAAAAAAAGTCATAAGGGGCCATATTATTTTAACTACTTAACAACACCAACAACTTATAATACACACATATAGAGGCTAAATGGAAATTTCTCATCTGGGATGATAATGGTGCCATCTATTGAAAACCATGCTTGAGACCATGCATGAGAAGCCATTTATTGAGTTGTTGGTCAGAAGTTGTCCAAGAGACTCATAAAACATTATCAGCTATTGCTATTGCCTTGGTTAGCACCCAGGGATGGAAGTTCAGTCCTTGTTGGTGAAGACATCAGATGCCCATGAGCTGGAAGTGACTTGAATATCTCTTTCCCGAAAACCAGTTTTCATTGTATCAGAAGGTGCCATGTCAGCTTCCAAAGGAAGGAAGCAACCAATTGTCTTTCTCAGTCATACTCTGGCATGACACATATAAACCACAGCAATGAACCAGCAAGGCACAATAACCTTAAGGGTGTGGTAGTAGCACACATACCTTAGTAGTAACCAACAGCTCTTTAATTGGACAAAAGAAAATACTCAAGAGGAAAACCATGTTTTGAACTAGAAACCTAACCAACTACACAGGACTAGTGAAGTAGGGTTCTTAAATGGTAGTTATATGTTCTTTTATAATTAAAGCAGCACATCCCTAACAGCAATCTAAACAACTATTCTTAGGACCATAGATAAGTATAGTCCTCACCACTTATCAAGGAAACTTCTCTTTGCAACAGATGGAGACCACTACAAAACCCACAAGCAATAAAAATGTAGACTTGTGGAGCCCTAGTGGATATATGCACCAAATCATTTCTCTACCTGAGACGCAGGGAGCATTGTGCAACTGGAGGCAGAAAGATAGTGAGAGACAGAAGATCAGGAAATTTGATGTGAAACTGTGTCTCCTAATAATGTCAGAAGCTACATCCCTCACTGAGGTGACTGTCTAAATTTAAGTTGAACAAGGACAACAACAATAGACATGTCAAAGTAGATGAGGAAAAGGCCACAAGGCCTCAGTCTTACAGACAGAATAATTATAGGCAACCAAAAAATGCTGAGAATGGAAGAAATCATCTTCCCCAAGGAAGAGGATACTGATTTGTTATCCAACAACAAACGGTCAGCCCTGAAAACACATATAAAAGTAATATTATACAGACTAAACAGGTTATATTAGGAATATACGTGTGTGTGTGTGTGCCTGTATGAGTGCATGTAACAATAATAAAAAAAGGCCATGAATTAAAGAGAAAAGAGCAAGGAAGGGTATTTGGGAGTGTTTGGAGGGAGGAAATGAAACAGGGAAATTATATATAATCTAAAATTATATATATATAATTTTATATATATATATATATAAATTATATAATCTAAAAAATGAAAGAAAAAGAAAAAATGCCAGCTTTTATTATAAGCAGTATGAACTCTGTACAGTCAAACATTTAAAAAGCAAAATAAATTAGTACTTTAAGAAAATATCTTGTATAACCACTTTGGAAATCAATCTGGTGCTTTCTCAGAAAATTAGGAATAGTGTTATCTCAAGATCCAGCTATCCCCCTCCTACGCATATATCCAAAATATGCTCAAGTATACAACAAGGACATTTGCTTAACCATGTTCATAGCAGCTTTATCTGTAATAGGCAGAATCTGGAAACAACTCAGATGTCCCTGAAGTGAGGAATCAATACAGAAATTGTGGTACATTTACACAATGGAATACTACTCAGAAATTAAAAACAAGGAAATCATGAAATTTGCAGGCAAATGGTGGGAACTAGGAAAGATCATCCTGACTGAGGTATCCCAGAATCAAAAATACACACGTGGTATATACTCA